GCTAAACTGAGCTAATTTGTGATATTCTTGCTCTGAACTGTTCTGTGCTTTTTCTTTCCAGCTGTAATACAAATGCATGTTTATGTTAACGGCACTCTGTTGTCTTGCTGGGGTTAACACAAGGGTGTTGAAGCTATTTTTGTTCTTTCTGCACTCATATCAGCTGATCTGAAATACCTTTTCATGTTTATCTGCCCTATTTGTTTTATGTGTTTAAGGCTTGACTTACCCTGACTTTTCCTCTCCTGCCACAAGGTAACTGGATACTGAAAGCTAATTGTTTACGAGGGAGAAACAGAGAATGAAAGGGGAACGAGTAACTTTATATATAAAGAACAGTTTATAGGTAAATGAAACAGGAGACAATGTAAGAACTACAGGTGACAGAATTATTGTGTTCTGTACTGAGGTACTAAGGACAAAGTTATAAATATAAGGGTTTGCACAGTGAAATACTATGATGAAATTAAATTACGGAGCACTGACATTTGGAGCAATGGAAAATGAACTGTGCTGTAAAAGACTTGCTTTGGACTGCTATTATCAGAGCAGTATTTTTCTTTTTTTTTCTTTTTTCTTTTTTCTTTCTTTCTTTTTTTTTTTTTTTCATATTACAAGTGTGTAAAGGGGATCTTTGAATAATTGTGGCAGTCTAAAGCCTAATAGGAATTTTTTTTTAAAAGTGATCATAGTCCTATACTGACCATAACCTGAAGCTGAGTGAGGCAAAAAAAAAAAAAAAAAAAAAAAAAAAAAAAAGAAAGAAAGAAAAAAAAAGGAGTGGGGGGAGTGATTTTGTTGATATTATGATATCAAATTACAGTGTTTCAAAAGTGGAGATGTTAAAATAGTCAAGTGAAGAAGAGAATTAAAGGCACAAGAGAGATGAAAAAGAAACTTGATTATAGTACACATAAAAATAATTATGAATTTACCATTGAAAACATAGGTATATGTTACAAGAATACCTTTTCAGGACTGTCAGTTCTAAACTAAGCAGTATTCAAGAATTAAAGAAACAATGACCATAGCTTTCCAAGTAGCTGTTTGAGTTCAACGATCCTGTTACAGTTATTGATTGGTTAATATGCAATGTACCATTTACTTTCTTATTGTTCACCATGTGGGTGAAGGTTTCCCAATCTATTGTATCTGATACATGTGAATGATTCATCTAGTTGCCAGTTTCTAGAACAAGAACATTCTTCACAAGACTGAAACGAAATTTTATAAATGTTCTGTCTAAAACATTGGCTCTAGATGTTCCTTGGGCTTGTTGGGCTCTTTCCCATTCTTACAAAGAATTAGCCCCAGTTAGCCAAGTTTTGAAAAATTCAGAAGTGCAACAAAATACAGAAAGCAAAAATTTCTGAAGATACCATCTTAATGTGGTCCAGCTACTTGAAGCCTCTTTGTGACTGACAAAACACACCTGTGTATGTATTGGTTGACAACTTGTAATACCAAGAGACTACTGTTGCAATCAGTGCTTCTGGTTGAATAACAAATGTATCTAATACCAAATCTGAAGGATGCACTTCTCGTTCCTTTTTGTCTGTGGGGCTATCCAAATCAGATTCTGTTCTCCCCAGAATAAAGTCGTATATCAGTTCACAAAATACACAAGTTGGAAAATGGTCTAGAAGTGATGGGGTAGCAGGGGGAATATGTCACAATAAGATCTGGCAGAAGTGGAAGAAAAGGTGGAGCCAAGGTATTAAAAGATTCTCAGCACGAGGGTCCATAAACAGACTATTTTAGCAAAATCTCCTGGATGCCAGAAAACCTATTCATGGTGTGGTACCCCAGCTTTGCTAGACAGCAGGATTCTGCCTTTATGGCTAGGAATTATACACATACTGCATTTCGTCTGGCACACTGGGGAAATACAGAGAAATCTGAGCACACCTTGGGGAAAATGGTTTTCAGTCTGGACTGAGGCTAAGACTGTGTTTGAGGAGCAAAATTACTTCAGGCAGAAATCCTCCAAAACCTCAGGTCAGCTCAGACTGTCAGCATTCCTCCCCTCTCAGCTTCTAGTCTACTGCAAAACTCTTGGTTTTAGTCTAAGGAAACAATAGCAGTCTTAGCATGCTGCCAGCTGCTCCACACATTTAAATCAAGCTTGATGTGGGTTCAATGGCTTCCAAAGATTACCCTATTAAAGGTTAATGTGGTTTTAGATGGTGGTGCTGTAGATACGGCACATAGAGTTTGCAAGCTACTTAAGACTAGAAAAATATCCAGCCAGCTGCTGATCCTCCAGGAAAACAGAAAATATGAACTGTGCATGAGTAACAGACAGGGGAGTTGTTGCTGTGCTCTCATGTGACAGGAGAAGGGGCTTGACATGCTTCTTCCTCTGTGTTCAAGGTCTGGCACAGAGCCTGCAGCAACAACTGCTGCTGCCATCATCACTACCACTGCCTTCACGTAGTATAACATTGCTTCTGTTGGCACTTTTTTCTTCTTCTTTTTTTTGTTTTTTTTTTCAGTAGGATTTAAAAACAGTTTAGTGGCTGATGTTTCTGTGTGTAAAGTTTGTTGAACTGCAATGCCAAGCACTCAATTAGGAACTGTTAAAAGCAGTCTTGGTTGTGCCACTCTGATTTGATCTTCTAATGCATTATAACGTTGCGCTTGATGACATGGTCACCTGCTGTACTTTTCCACAGAGCTCCTTCTGTGATGAGCAAGATGGATGGTGTTGTGAGAGCGTTAGTTTTATATATGGATATATATTCTTGTAGGTTCCAAAGGTTGGAAAGCATGTAGTTGAATGGTAGGAATCCACAAGAAAAAAGGTTTAACTTCTTTGTGCCCTGTCTCTAAAAGAAAATTCTATTTATTTCTTTGCCATGGTCACTATATGTTTCAAGACCGGTCATCAAAACTGGAACTTTCTTGGTGGATCATGATTATTATTACCTAAGCCAGTTCAGTGCTCTTATAAGCATAATTAAGCCAAACTTTCAATGCATACTCCAGTACCTAAGCACTCTGGAAAAAATATGCTATCAGATTAGTTTCACAAAATGAGCCTTAAGTTCTGTGTTTTGGTTCCTTAGTTATAAAATCACATGAATGGATGATGCTATGAAGGGTTTCATAATAAGGGTTTCAAAATATTTTTATGATACTGGGAGAATACTATGAAAAAGGAAATAAAAAATTACCAAATACTGTAACGTAACCAATATGGGGGTAGGTATCCTGTTAGACATGGAGATATAACTTATTCATTGAGTATAGCACCAGAATGGTGAAAATAATGTACATTCTTGAACTGTGGAAAGAAATTTTGTTTTGCATGGTTTTCAAGAGTGGGGTACTGCTGGCATTGGCTCTGGAATTAAATCTCCACAAAGAATATTGGTTTGGATCAGTCAGGACTTCTTTCTTCCCTTCTCTTCCCTTCTCTTCCATTCTTTTGTTGTTGTTGTTGTTGTTGTGTATGAGTATATTTAAATGCTTATGTATATATACTTATATATTATTGTAACATATAAAGTCAAATTAAAGCAAAGGCAGTTCAAAATATTGAAGTGAAAAACTTAAATGGTGTTTGAGCTTTATATTCTTTCTCAAATATATTTTATCTCTAACCTAATTTCTGATCCTTTTGGAATATTTCAGTGTTGATTGTTGGAATTTCATTTATTAAAAAGAGGTGGCTACCATTCAGCTGGTCAGATCTATTCATATTAGTTAAGCATCACTGATGGAATTCCTAGCTTTTAAGGGCTTGGCTTAGAATACTAATATTCTTTTCAATAGGTTTTTAGTATCAAAAATCAATTAAGTAGTTGACACAGTTCTATTTTACTGGACAGTTTTAATGTAACGCTTCAGTAATAATCTGGTACTACTTAATTACATGTATGAAATGCCAGGATGTCTTATCAACTGGAGCAAAGTGAGTCCTTTGATCTTTGTACTGTACTGCTACAGGGTATTTTGAATGTAGTAGGTATTGATCATATCTGTAGCTGTTGCCACAAACAGAAAGGTAACAGGAATGAGCACAATAAATAGTTAATCTTTGTTAGTTTTGCAGAAATAAATATTATCAGCAAGAGTTTCCAAAGAGTCTGTGGTTTTCATCTCAGTGATGAACTGTGAGAAAGCTCCTGTTTTCATTTCTTTTTTCTTTCTTTTTTTTTTCTTTTTTCTTTTTTTCCTACTCTTTTTCCAAAGACTGCGCAAATCTTTAGAAATAAAGGGATGGAATGACTGCAACTAATGACTTTAATGACTTTTTCTAAAATACTGTAGGTATTTTATTACTGTCATCATATATACAGGCTAACAGGGTAGATGTGAAGGCTATAGGAAAATGAAGAAAATAACACTGATGGCTTAGAAATGGATCAAAGTCAGAACTTTCCCATTTTGGGGAGTGAACTGAGTCTTTCACTGCTTAGAGTAGTTACCAAAAACCCAGTTTAACAACACGAGAATTATTAAGAACATAACAGACCACAGTGAACTGCTGAAATAAAAACCCAGTCAAGTGAGTAGATCAAGTATCATTTAAATCATATTCAGAAGATCTCTGCTTCTTTCCTTTCTATAGCTAAGCAAATAGTAAAATATCTTATGGAATATTTGGCAGCATTCCCCTAGATTTCTGAGGATACTGAACAATTGAATGAGGTTAAAAAGGGAGGAATTCATTTTGCTGTTCTTGTTCGGCTCACAGTTCTCTTGTCTTCACTATCAGTTTCTCTTGAGTTGAAATTCCAGTTAAGTAGTCTTGGAAGGCAAATACACAGATGCTGACACTTTTCAAAGTTAATTAAAAAAAGAAATGTGGGAAAAAAAAAAAAAAGAAAAAAGAAAAAAAAAGAGGTCACTGTCCTTTGGTATAAGAAAAGAAACTGGCAACTCCATATGCTCATATCTTCAGAGCTGTGTTTATGGCAGGGTGAAAGTTCGTATTACAGTCAGCCGCCGATCTCCTTCCAAACACAGTAGGAATGTATTAAGAACAGGCCAAGCTAGCAAGAATGGGTTTATTTAAATTTATTGTTTTTTTTTTCCAGATTGAAAGAAATGAGTAGGATTTATAATTGCAATTGTTTGGAAGTACCATGGGGAGATGGAGATTTAGGTATTGTATGATAATTTGTAATTAATTTATTTTTAACTTTGCCCATTAATACAATGAGTCTATTTATTCTATTTAGTCTATTTATTCTTTCCTTATTAGAGTTTACAAAGTAATGTAGGCTGCCCTTCCTGAATGAACGCCAGAGAACTTGGGACTAGTGTGGCTAGTGGTAAATAAAGATAGAGATGCCTTGTATTCAACATACTCAGCATCTGTCAGAAACTGCACCAGTAGGTACTTAATAAATGAACAGTTTTGGAATAGACTATATTACTAATTCTGCTGTCACAGACAATGCTGAATTAAAACAGTTCTTCATTTATTTATATTCTTGTTGATGCTTTTTAAATAAGAGGCTTAGCAAGGTTGTAGAATAGCAGAAGGCAGCAATCTCGATACAAAATTTATTTTAAAACAAATCTGATGTTTATTAATGCTGCATGTTTATTTTGAACATATTTTCATCTCTGTGGTATTTCATGGTTAATTATTATGTTTACCAATAAATCAGTAGGAATGTGGAAGCTTTTCCCAACCCTGATTTGCACAATTGTTTTCTGCAGTACTTTGCTTTAAGATTTTTATTCTAATAGAGATGGTGCAAGCATTTAGATTTGAAAGGTTTTAGCAGCCAGCTGCTGATGTCTCTGTGTGAGGGCAGGGAGATAAGGTGGGTGTAGATGCAATACAGACTTCAGAGTGGGATCTGGCATCACTGAATTTCAGATGTCACTTTAATAATTATATTAACAGATGTTCTTCGGAGCATTCTATGGGGGAAGAAGAAGATGGAATGAAAGGTGGAAACAAAGTTGATTTCACATTCTGTCTGCATCTTTGTTCTGATAGTTATACATGGACACACACACAAAAATGTCCTAAGTATATTTATACTTAATGGATGAAAAGAATTAATGATGTTTACAATCTTACTAGATGTTTTTCTTTACAATAGTTAAGTGTCAGGGTTTTCTTTTTGTTGTTGTTTTCTTCCTGTTAATTTATGAATAGGCTAAATAACCACTGAGAAAAAATCTCATGTATGGAGATAAGGAATAAAGTTCAAAGGGAACCATTAATGCAGTCTTCAATAATTTTTTAGGAATTTTGCAACTGCCAGCAGGAGAACTTAATGAATCTTATTTTATTTGAATTAGAGCAACATGAGTGCTGGTTCTATGGTACATAGCACTGAAAAACTATTGTTATTTTGTAAAAATCGGGTCAGTATGATTTCTGAACTCAGTTGTTGTTGTATAAAATCCCTTACAATTCCAAACAATTTGTATATGTCTTTTTAACTTTTCCTACTAGAAATAAAAACCATAGGGAACAATGTTTGTGAGAATGCACAGAGTGAGCACACACACAGAGATTATCAGAGCTTAGTGCACATCATTCTGAAAAAAATATTAGAACAGAGAAAAAAATGGTGTAGGAAAATGAACTGAGTGGGAATTACACTATTTAACACATTTTGTATGATTTCAACATAACAGTAATAGCAAAATAAGTCCTAGACCAAGCTCTAGCATTCATTCCAGACAGCTAGACAAGAATAAAGTCTCTGTCAGTGTCAGAAAGATTCAGAGAGCTACAGGTTTCACGTCAGTAATTGAATTAGCCTCTTTACATTCCCAGTAATTTCTTCTTATAAGTATCAGTAATTCACAATACACTTTGAAGATGATTCTTTCTTACATGGTCTCAGAATTTAATTTGCAAAATTAATACAAAAAATGGGTATCAGCTTTGCCTGTGATCCTATCAGCAGCAAGCCTTCTATAGCAAAGGACAGGCTCTTCAACAGGAACCACTGGTTGACTCTGGGGTTGGGTTGGAGGTAAGGGTTGGGATAGCATGAGGTAGAGAGATACTGTGAGTTTTATTTTTGTTTTTGTCCTTTCTTGAGGGTGGTGAGTCCTGGCAATAAATACAAGCTTTTGCATTAAGGATAACTTCTTATTCTTAGTGCTAACAGCCTATCAAGATGAGAACATAATATCCTGTTCCTTCTATAGCAACCTTTTGTACTATGATTCTCACTGTATTTCTCTTGTACATGTGTAGTAGCTTGAAATGAATCTTGTTGTACATGGAGATTTCCAAATTGGATTTCATATACTTCAGTTTTATCAGCACTTTTTCAGGCAGGTTTATATCTGTTTTTGGTTTAAATATCAATTTGTTGAAGCCTGTAAACTTACTTGCCAGCTGCTAAAATAAATTGTAAGATAATTAAAAATAAATAATGAAAAATAGAGTTAAAAATATGGTGAAATGCATCTGTTGCATCATATTATTAAAATCAATATATCAATATTTTGTTCTATGTAATCATTTATTATAGATGCTTACAGTTAATATAACAGCTTTATCTATGAACAAATCAATTGAAATACAGTCTCTACAGGGGAAGAATTATTTTCACAGGACATTTCACTTCATTCTGTGCATTATGTTTCTTGCTTTGCTCTCTGCATTCCAAAAGCATTCTTATTCACATGGTTTACTCAATAAATGTTGTTATTACATAGGTTCTTGGGCAGATCGCTCACCTCTGCATGAGGCAGCCAGTCAAGGACGTCTTCTTTCTCTAAAGACTTTATTGTCACAGGTGAAGGCTGTGTTCTTAAAATTGCTTAACTTTTTAATGCTACTTAATCTCTCAGCATAATTATTAATGCAGATTTAGTATGTTTTGCTTTCTTTTTTTTCACCAGAATTTTTGAGAAAACACAAATTTACTAATTTTTGTTACAATAAGATATAAATTGATATTTAAAGTATTTTATCTGTACGTTTTAAGCTTCATAAAATCAATCTTTATCAAAGCTGTAACTCTATCAGTGTTCTCCTCCTGTGAATCAATATACATAAAATCATGGAACATCCCGAGTCAGAAGGGACCCACAGAGATCATTTAGTCCAAAAGCTCTGCTTCACTCAGAAAAGATAGCTAGCCAGGAAGATACTTGTTTAGAGGGAAGGCACTGAAAAATTCCGGTTCTTTGCACAGTTGTGATTAAAAAAAGATTGTTTTGTTAACAGCAAAGGGAGAGACTATAAACCACTGTGTGTTAATATTAGTCATATTAGCTCCTACAGTAAAGAATAAAATTGATGAATACAATTTTTAGCTTCTAAGAGTTGAACAGTACCCTCTGCAGAAAAATCCAGTGTTTGATGTTTTTATCAATCCAAGAAGTATTCTCCTTGCTAATATTAAGCTGATGTCTCTAGATATTTCAGCCCTTAAGTCAGAGAACTCTTAGAATCACAGTGCCATTTAAACCCAGAAGCCTCGTTGGGTTTTTAAAGATTACCAAGCATAAAGATTCCCAAACCTCTCTGCAGACCTGTTCCAGGGTTCCACCATCCCCATACCAAATTATTATATTTTCCCATACAACTAATCGGATTTCACCACTTGTTTCTGTTGCCTTTTGTCTGATTATTGTGCATCTCAAGAGTCAGGCTCCACTGTCTTTATACCCCCTTATGCCCCATCCAGGATCTAATATTTCTGATTTTTAAAAAAGAAGAGCTGACAACTTTGATTCTGCTATCTATGTTGACTGATGAAAGATTTTTTTTATATGCTCACTAAAGATTTACTTATTGCAAGTAGAGTGTTATGAATTATTCCTTTGAATAGTAAGTAGTGTGACCTAACAGCTTTCATACGATCTTCATATGTCATTCATATCTTGTTTAGGGTTACAATGTAGACACACTAACTATTGACCAAGTAACTCCACTTCATGAAGCCTGCCTGGGAGATCATGTAGGATGTGCAAGGATCCTTCTTGAAGCAGGAGCAAATGTAAGGGTGTTTTTGTATATGAAGTCCAATGCTAACTTTGGTTTAACTAAGAAGGATATATTCCTTGATTTATTTTTTTACATTGGTATTTCTCTATACTCTGTTGATGACATTGACTTAATTACAATAAGCTGTCATCTGAAAGCTAGCAAAGGAAAGTTTTGGCTCAAAGAAGCATCAGTATAGAGATGTTAGGTTAAATGAAAAAATGAAACAAAAACTACTTAAGCGTGTATGTAAGAGTAGATCTCAAACAGAAGAACAGTAACAGGGAAAACAGATGGGAGTTGGGAAGGAACTGAGCGTAGTCAACTGGACAGAATCTGCTAGTAGTGTTACCAGAATTTCATTGCATTATTTATCTTTTAAACTTCTGAATGCATCTCTCCTTTGCTGATTTCCATTGAGTGGCTTCCAAGAGTCTGTTCTTTTAATCTCTGGAATAACTTTTGTCACATTGTGCTAAATGCTCTTAAGATTCTTTGGTCTGAGTACACTGAGTCAGTACACTGACTCTTTTCTGTATTCATGACACAGACTCTCTACCTGTTATCCCAAACAGAAAGTGAGAATTCACAGTCCATTTTTACTACAATTTGCGCTGAGATCATATTCACCAACAGTTACAGTTTCTCAGTTGTAATTGGTGATATTCCATCATGGTGATGGAATATTTATTGTCCTAACAATTTACTTTTGGGAAACATCTGGAATATGTGTAAGTAACAGATAAGAAAAACACAGATGCATTCCAAAAAGCAGTCTCTGTCCACTTCAGCTGGTGCAGGGATTCTATATATGTAGAATATATATAGATACTACTTACAAATCTATAAGAACAAATTTTATTTTCGTATCTCAATTTTTGTAGTGCTTTTCATGGTTGGAGTGGGTTTAGAGGATGCACGTAAGAGGATTGGCGAGATTCCTCTCTCCAAATACCTGTGTTCCTTCCTTTAGCATCATCACAATTTTTCTTTCTCGTCATTCTCCCTATTAGCCTTGTCTCATTCCATGAAATACCACTCCAACAGAGAGATTAAAAACACAGAAAGGCAAATAATTCCCGCATTTAATATGAAGTTTGCAGTCTGCTAAAGCTACAGAGAGAAGGTTCCCATTACTACAAGAGGTGTGGATTTTTGTATCAGTGAAAAGAGCCAAGTGCAATTACTTCTGAGAATTAAGTCATTTACTGCCCAAATGATAATATGTGGTCTTCAGCATACAAAGTGTATTTTCTTTCATTCAACATAATTTAACAAGAGCAACAGTAAACTGAGGAGTGTGGTGATGGGAGAACAACAGAGCAAGGACTGAACAGCTAAGCTATTTTATTCTAACCAGTAAGTTTGTCACTATTTTCATGCAGTTTCTAGCTATATTCTGTTTAAAACTACTTTTCTTTCAATTTTTTTGTTACCTCGATTTTATATATTTTAGGTAAATGCTACAACAATTGATGGAGTGACACCCTTATTTAACGCGTGTTCGAGAGGCAGCGCAGCATGTGCTGAGCTCCTGTTAGAGTATGGTGCCAAAGCTCAGTGGGAGTCCTGTCTTCCATCACCAACTCACGAAGCAGCCAGCAGAGGTAAGAAATTACATGCTCAACAGACAAGCAGTTGACAAATATCTCAATAATGTAGTGTGAGGAAAGGAGTCCCATTTTGTCTGAGCCAACTTACTGAACCAACTATTACGCTTTGTACTGACAGGACACAGTGAATGTCTGGAGGTACTGATATCCTGGGGTATAGATGTTGACCAAGACCTTCCTCATTTAGGAACACCTCTATATGTAGCATGTGTGTCACAGCAGATCCATTGTATTCGAAAGCTTCTTTATGCAGGTATGTCATTATTTAAATAAAAGTATTGCTAATTTGTCTAGTTAAGCATACTGAGTTTTGAAATAATCTGTGCTCAGTCAACAAAACTAGAACCCTTGCTTGCAGGACACTTGTAACTTTGCTGTAATGCATTTTTTCTTACATCAACTTACTGCATCTATTTTTTTTATTTTTTTTTATTTTTTTTGGCATAACAAATATGAGTGGAAAAGGCATCAAGACTAAAAGAAATGGGCCTTCAAAATATTCAGCACTTACCACAGCTTAGTAGATACTCATTTTCTGTAGAAAAAAAAAAAAAAAAAAAAAGTTAAAATTAGCTTTGAGAAAGGTGTTGCTTTTAAAAGTTTTTTATACAGTATGCTTTCAACAGGTTTTTTTTTTTGGCAATGTAGTCCCATTCTTTTTAATCTTCAGTGTACTCTGAATTCAATCTTTTTACAAAGCATAGAGGCTGAACTGCAAAGAGAAGCAGTGAGGTAAAAGGTACTTCATCCTAAACCTTGTTTTATTTAGTTAATCAACAAAAACAGAAGTTGGACATTCAGTCTGTGTCAGCATGAGTCCAGTGTCAGTATCTGCACAAAGGATTGTTTGCTATGTTTCAGGTAATGAGATACAGGATTTCGGTGTCCTGCAGAAAAATGAATGAAAAATTATATTTGAATAATTACTGCTTTGTTATCATTGCACTTCAGTTGTTTTTCTAGTTAATTGCAGGTTATCAAGAATACAAACGAGCAATTAAAATATTTCTCTTGAAGTCAGTTCTCTAGTTCATAATTTCTATGTTTAAGGAACCTAGAAATATAACTGGCATGTTTTGAGATTCATATGCTGGCATAGATTAAAGGCAGTAACAGGATATTCTACATTTGTTGTGATAAAGCAGAGAAGTGTATGTAAATTGAGAACAGAGCTAGCTACTTATGTCAATCTGAATTTTTAATTGATCAGCTATTTAGAGTGTATTGGGAGGTATAATGCTAACAGACAGTGAAACAGGCAAGAGAATGACACTGTGGAAGCATTTTTAAAATGTTCATGCTGGTAAAAGTGACCTATTTAGAGTCTGAATCAGATTGCTAAGCCTCTGATATTAAAAAGTTCTTTAACTCAAGTGGGAATTTAAAAGGCAAATAACATTTATTCAGTGCCAAAATTTGGTACAGAAACCAATTTTTGGTCTCAAAAGATCAGTACAGTTCTTTTAATAAGATTCTTTTTTTAATAGGATGACTGTTGGAGAAATCCTGTTTGAGGGGAAAGGTTAACAGCTTGCTTAGAAGAGTTTTCCCATACTAGCTATTTTTGTTTAACTCTTGTATGAACTTTATTTTATGAATATAAATGCAGCACTGCAAATTAGTTCAGTCCCTGTAGCAATTTTTTTAAATGTATTTTTTTGATAATTAGGGCAACTACGATGCTCACATTACTTAGTTTGATTTTTTTTTTTCTTTTTCTTCTTTCTGTACAGTGTTTTCCTTTAAAATCTTGTTGTGCTTTGTAAGAACATCTAGGATAACTATATGATCAGAAGGTTCAGTGATAGGATTAGCTATATTGGTATGTAATAAAATCAATAAAGTGGCTAAATTCACTGTTGCATTCCCAGACAGCGCGGATTTTTACTCAATGACAATTGTCATTAATCTCTTCTTCACATCTCTTTGCCTGCACACCAGGTGCCAATGTGCAGAAGGGAAAGCATTTGGAAACTCCACTGCATGCTGCTGCCCAGCATTCAAGTACAGAGATTGTAAACTTACTCCTTGAATTTGGGGCAGACATAAATGCCAAAAACACAGATTTTGAGAGGCCTGTTGATTTAGCTGCTCCTCGCAGTTTAGTAGAGAGGCTGCTGCTCCTCCATGAAGGTAAGCTTTACATATGCTTTTGCAAGTGTATTTTTGTAAACAAACATGTAACAAAGAACCCCAACAACTGAATATGTTTACTTTCAGCCAAGTTCCTTTTTTAACTATAAAAGTAACTAGTAATATTTACTTTCAGGCCACAGCCAGCACACAGCCATGCAGCATCAGAATTTATTCAAGCTGAAAAAACATCTTTTTATGTTTAATAGGTGTTAAACTACAATAAAACTGCATTTTTATTGGCTACATCAGATCTTGCAATAAAGAAACAGGATACTTCAATTTCAGATTAAAAATGTATTTAGTTTTTGCCAACCATCCCAAAATTAAAAAATACACGTGTTCCTAATATACGTGTAAAGCCCTTTATTTTGAGTGTGGATAAAAAATATGTAAATATTGGAAATATATTTTTTTGTTTGAAAGTCTTGTCATACTTCACAAGGTAATGTTATAAACTGTTTCAGTCTATTCCCAGTTATGCATATGAATGTACAAACAAGGAATTTTTAAAATCAAATAATAACGAGTTATCTGATATGAAATGCTTAATAATAGTGTACGATGAAAGACCATAGAGGTTTTTAATTTAAATGAAATTTAGAAAACATTGCTTACTTTGTAATTGCCTGAGAAATAACAATTGATACAAATAGTCTCTTATGACTAGTCTGAGAGAGGGAGGAAATGAATATATCCCAAAGGGATCTGGATTTGTTCAAGCTGTCTTATGTAAGGGTAAGACAAGACACAAAGGCCACAAGATGCAGGTGAAGACAAAGAAAAGCAAAGAAGTGACTGTCTCAGCTAATTGTCATCTCTTTAGAGGTGAACTGGCACTGTTTCAATGCTTCCCTCAAAACAGCCTACTGTTAAGAACAACAACAACAAAAAACCAAAAAAAAAAAACCAACAACAAAAACCAATCCACACTAAAACCAACTGGTTTTGTGAACTGGCTATCTAGAGGCCATCAAAGACTAGAGGATTTTTAGAAGCATATAGCAAATATGTCAAAATCTTTTTTTTTTGGCATGAAACTCACCCTTATGTAATTAAACTCCTGTTTTGTTTTCTTTTTTTTGGCAGCCACACCATCTTCTCTTTGTCAGCTTTGTCGACTACGTATCCGAAATTACATAGGAAGAGCTAGACTGCATCTTGTCCCACAACTCCAATTGCCAACAATACTGAAGAATTTCTTACAGTATAGATAACATAATAATTAACCTTTAGAAAGCTGAATAACAAGTCTTCTGTTTATTGTAAATTTTACCTAAAGAACTGCTGGGCGGAAAATAAAGCCTTTTGCATATTACTTTAAAAAGACACAAATCTTTGACACCTGGTGTTGGCATGTAATCACAATTGGGAGCCATTCAGCAACTGGTACCAAGGTGCTAACAAGGCTGAATTGAATAAGTGTGCTGATACTCTGGGAAATGATTGTATAGGTTTAGCTTAACACTTACTAATTAGCTTTAGTGCTGTTAATTTTATTTGTATTTATACTTTAAAATCTGTTTGGCACATGGGAACTGCAGCGTTTCTTCATTTATATTTGTTAACTTTGTCCATTTGGAGTCATTATTTTATGTGTTTTTAAATATCTGTTGTTTGTGTACTGAAAAATACTTGGTGGTAGGTACACTACAAATGTTGATTAAAAAAAAATAAATAAATGAATAAATAGCCATTTTTTCTTCCTTTTCTTTATATAGACACTTAATTAATGACAGTGAGAAACTTCCTTTGCTCTTCCTCACTGCCTGTGCTCTGAACTGGAGTTTTGTGTTTTGAGCTTTTCTTTTTTTAGCCATATCTAGTTTATAAATTATTTGTAACTTTTTAAAACAGAAAATCTGTAAAGATATAAGTTTACAAATTATAGGGAAGCCATAATGCTGAAATACTTTCAGATCCCCTTTTGTAACAGAGCATTCTTGGAATCTTTCCTTAACAGTGCTATATCATAACTTAGGGACATATACGTAATCTGCCTCAGAGAAAAACATAATTTATTGCATGATTTTTGAAGGCTACTGCATCGTGTCATAGAACAGCTTGGGTTAGAAGGGACCACAAAGATCCAAACCTCTGCTGTGGGCATGGTTGCCAACCACAAGATAAAGTTGCCCAGAGCCCATCCAACCCGGCCTTGAATGTCTCCAGAGACAGGACAGTCACTGCCTCTCTGGGCAGTCTGTGCCAGGGCCTCACCATTCCCTGAGTAAATAATTTCTGCCTAACATCTAACTTAAATCTATCATCTTTTAGTTTAAAGCCATTTCCCCTTGTCCTATCACTATCTGCTCATGTAAAAAGTTGGTCCGCCTTCTACTTACAAGCCTAATACTCAGTTGCTAATTTATGTCCACCTAATAAAATCCAGCTTTCTGACTTTTATCCTTGTTCAAAGGAATCTTACTTTATTCTGCTCCTTGCAAAAACTCTAGTGAGAGCCTCTTCTGGAGTCCCTGTAAAGGAAGATCGGATGCAGGTAGGAGAGACTGCTTAGGATTCCATACTGTGCGTAGCCTAAGGATTTAGAGCATGCACTGAGCAAGTTAGGTAGAGTAGCGTCTAGATTTTTTGTTTGTTTTGTTGTTTTTTTTTTCCCCACTCAGAAACTTAGAATGTTTTGTTTTCTGTATAATGCCATTACCATTATTATTTCAAGAAACACAGTAGTGCCAAGACAACTACTGCACTACTCCGCTTGTATACACAGAGCAAGATCACTTGGACGCTTACCTTCAGGTGTGCAGAGTGCTTTTCAAACTTGACTTGGGAAAAGCTGCATGAGAAAAAAAGAGAATGTTGGTTTGGCTTTAGGCATTAGAGTCCCTGCTGTCTTACGTCATCTAGGTGGATTTGCACTGTCATGCCATTTGCACTATCTATTGCCACTAATTCCGGCAGTCATCCAAAGAGCAAACAAGATCCTCTTAAGTGGTGCGAGCTACAGGGTACTACTTTCTCCTTAATTCTATGGAGCAGTAGGCAAGCAGATTAACCCAGATCCAGCTTGCAGGGGTATTTTTGTGACTTGAATCTTGGGTAATACTCACTTTTAAATCTTTAATTTTTTGCTAACAGATAATAACATGAAAATAGGATCCCTTCAGCAAACTGAGACAGGTTGGATGGGAACAAACATAACTGGGAACTCAGGCAGCTGCTGTGGCAGGACTGTGTTGTGGGACAGGCTTTCAGATCAGCCCATTCTCATGTCATGTACCAGAAATACATACTAACCAAATAGACAACATCAGCGTTTGGTAAAGCAATTCCAAAAAACACGATTAGTCAGAAATTAAAGAACGGATGCTCTTAAAGCAATGCCTCCTATTTACGATGTTGGCACACGAGACCAGAGACGGATGTTGATAGTATGGCAGCAGAGGTTGAACCTTCCCACCAATATTCTATGATACATTGTTGCTGTGTGGCAGCAGAGGGGCAGCCTGACACGAGGCGCGACACAGACAGGCCTCAGAAGTGTGCCACCAAATTCCTTCATGCCGAAAAGATGGCACCCACTGACGTTCATCAGCAGAAGGCGTTACTTTTGGAGCAACCTACAATTTCTCAAAGACATATATATCGTGTAACATCTCCATTCCGCGCTGGAACCCAACTGTGACATCACGCGGGCTTGCCGTAAGGCACTGCAGACAAACGCAGCCGGTACCCCGCGGCGCCTCACACAACCCGCACACCACACGCGCTCCGCTTCCTGCGTGGGCCGCCTCGTGACGGCAGCGCCACGAGGCGGCGAGTGCAGCCCCGCCAGCTATGGCCCTCCGGCAACCGGAGCTGCCTCGCCCCGTGCTCCGCTGGCTGCTGAGCCTCGGCCTCTCCGTCAGCCCACGGAACTACCGCAGGTCCGCCATGCCGCGCCGCGGAAAGGGAGGGCGCCGTGAGCGGGAGGCGGTGCCAGCGCTTTTCGCGTTGTCTTGACAGGGATTTCTCCAACGGGTACCTGGTGGCGGAGATCCTGTCTCGCCGCTTCCCCGCCCACGTCCGGCCTGACGCCTACACGAACGGCTGCTCGCTGGCCACCAAGCTGAGCAACTGGTCCCACCTGCGGCGGGTGAGGGCGCCTCGGCACGCGGGAGCGTAGGGGCGGCTCTGGGGCGGCTGCTGCCCCCTGCCCCCCTCAGCGGCCCCTCTCAGCCACAGACCGTGCTCCTTCCTTGAGCTTCTAATTTGTAATTGCTTTTTTCTTGTTTTTCTTTCCGCGTCAAGTTTTTGGCAAAGCAACAGTTAGACATCACACAGGAGCTGATAGACGGAACGATTCACTGTAAGCCTGGAGCGGCAGAGAGCCTGCTGCGAGAGCTCTGCTGCGCGCTGACCAGCAGCCGGTGAGTGGGCAATGCCCGCAGGTGACCTCTCCTGCCCGGCCCCGGCTTGGCAAGCAAAAAGGTGTTTTGAAGTGAGTTTTGAATATTAGCCAAACTTTTGCTAATAGCTACTTCTTTCTGCCATCAGCTCGTCCATTATCTCTCTGTGCATCACTTTGCCTGAGCTATTTGAGTGCGTATGGGCTTTACTGTTGTCAATGTGAAAATAATTATAAAGCCATAAAAATGAACTGGTACTTAGCCATTGTTTTACTGTAATTAATTCCCAAACACTTTTTTTTTTTTTTTTTTTTTTTTTTTTTTTTTTTTTTTTTAAGAATTGGAAGTCTTCAAGAGATGCAGATTGACTTCACAGACTGCTGTTACCAGACACAGCTACCAGTAGCTATCAGAGCAACAGCTTCCACAGCCATCAAGAGTAACATCAGGTTGACAGAGATGCTGGTAGAACCCAGCATCTGCATCAATAGACAGAAGGCCATTACCATCATTAACATGCACATAGGAATGAGGATGCAAGAGAGGGCAGAGAATCCACGTGAGTGTATTAAATAACTTTCACCATTAATGTTATCACTAAACATCCCCCTCTATTACTCCTTACCACTGAAAGAAGCCACGCTGTTCCTTAGCTCTTCTTGGCTGAGGCACTTAGCAGAGATGCTGTAGCTTGCCCTGATGCTCGTGGTAGAAATGCTCATAGCACAAAGGCCCACAGTATTCTTGAACTATCAAGATAGAGAGTGAGTGGCTAAGTGGTTGATGAGCTGGAGGGAAGATGGTCTGGACCATCAGATTAAAGGGACTCTCTCATTAAAGGGCTGTTCCATGTAGTCCAGCTATGGCCAGTTACAAGTGACCTCCCTCAGCTATCAGTTCTTAGGGCTGCTTAACATCTTCATTAATCATGTGGACATGGAGAGAGAGGACACTGAGCAAATGGGGGAGTGACTGGCACACTAGAGGCTCCTTCAAGTTCAGAGAGATCCCAGCAGGCTGGAGAAATGACAGGACTCAATGCTGAACAAAGACAAATCCTGTCCTGGCAACCAAGTAACCTACACATTGCTACCAACTGCAGGCAGCTGGCCGAGAAAGAGCTTTGAATTCCCCAGTACAAATGCACATTCTATGATTAACATAATGTAGGGAGGGCCATCAAAGTAGCTAGAGGGCTAGTGCATATGACATATGAAGAGTGAAGAACTGAGTTGCTTCAGCTTTAAGAAAAGGTGAAAGGACAAAAGCTGATTATTTCCTCTTTCTGCTTATTAGGATAATTTAACTTACTAAATGCTACGAGTTGGATCAGTTATCCTCTGTCACTGATACTATCAAAGAATCCTCAGCAGTGAAAGACATTTTAAAAATCAAACAGTGATAACTCCGTTCATTTTAATGTTTGTTACTCTTCTCCAAGACACAATATATGACTTTTAGAAGTCCCTCAGTCTTGCAGGCACATGCTTTTACATGCATCAGTTCTACTGCAACCAGTTTGCATGTTTTTGAGTCTGAAGAGATCATGAGCCTGTCTACTTTGATCTCAGTCTTGCAAGCCACAGCATTTCAGTTGAATTTCTTTATATTCAGCTTTATAACCAACATTACCTAAAGCACACTCTGTCATGGAGGATGCTCCATCTCCAGTGAAAACATGACGCGGTTTCCAAAATTAAACTGAATTCTCTGGTTTGTTTCCATTTTGGAGCCTTTTGCTGCACTCCTGTGAGTTTTCTTTATCCTTCTGAAAATTCTGGCACCAAATTTAAACCTAACATTCTAGTGTCAATCTCTTCTATACCACAGACCAAGTCAAATTATCTTAAATTGTTTACACATTACAAATTACACATACTAGGAGTGCATCAAAGGTAGCTGCAGGAGTAAATAAGGCTTAAGCAAAGAAATTAGATATTAGACTTCAAGAAGTATGTCTTTAACTTGATCATGTCAAATGAAAAATTTGCTCTGGATCACCATCAAGACATAAATAGTCAAGTTGTAGGCCTTTTTTTTTTTTTTTTTTTTTTTTTTTTTGCTATTTAGTTTTTTGTTTTCTCTAGTTGAAGACTTTCTTTGCCAAGTAGTGTGTTTAACTGCGGTGACTTGATGATTTTACAGTCTTGAAATATTTTGAAGTTGTTCAAATTGAGCATGTGTGGTTAAGACATACTGTGCAATCTCAAACATTTTGTTTAATGCTTATTTACAATCTCAGGCATTTTAACTAATAAAACACTGAAACAATTTCATCTATTTAAACATACAAAAAATATTCTGTTTGAGAAGAAGATACAGAGTACTTTTACCTTACAACATGTTTAACGTTTCCCCTTTTCTTCTGAGTGTGTTATTTTTATAGAGCTGCCAGATCATCTGAGCATTTAAGTAAAATGGGGAGCAGGGTAGTTACAGCGTACAGATAAACTGGAGAAGTAAACAACTAACTGATGAGATGCTCAACATACTGCTGAAATGAGCAGCGTGGTATTTTTGTCTTAAAGGACGGTTTAACATTAAACCAAGTTTTGGACAGCGTGTGGTTCACCATTTGGATTGCATCATACCCTCCACGAATACAGCTAGTATCCCAAAGCAGCATTTGTTACCTCATGTAAGTTTGTTTTTCTGGATCATGTAGGGGTTAAACTTTTTTTTTTTTTTTTTTTTTTTTAAACTTTTGCTATATAGACAGCCAATAGATGTGTTTAAAAACTTTGAAGCTACATCTTCTTACAAAATAGGAGACTTGGAGAGGGTTAGCAGTGTTAAACTGATTTATTTATTTAAGATCAATTGCTTTGAGATTTTCCCTAATACGGCAGCAGTAGCAATTATTCTAATATTTAAAAATGCCTTCCTTACTTTTCTCGGTGTTTTGATTTAGTTTGGGTACATTCACTATGCTGAAATCCTGTTTGGCTCTTTTGGGCACTGATGCCAATAGTCACAAATTGATCTGATTAATTAGCTTTCAGCCTGTTTGTATGTATTCTTCCTCTTTGCCATCAAGGATTGTCTGTGTTGGTTTAAATAGTAACACCCTCAAAAATGGTACTGCACTGTCTTTATACATAGGACTACAATAATTTCTTCAGAAGGGAAAATGAGACTCTAAGAGTTTAAACTCAGTCTACATTTTTATGGTTAAATCTGATTAAAACAACTTCTTTAATGCTGTCATGATTTTTTCCCCACCTGTTTGCATATAGATTCATCAGAAACCAGAGACAAAATATGTTCATTCTAAAGAACTTCGGGGGAAACAGCTGACAACTCCCCCCTCACGATAGATATTTAGAACCATCTGGATACTGCTGAAAGGATTAACCAGAGAGATAAGGAACTTTTAAATACAAACAATCTCTCAATCACAATTGTGTTGACTGCATAATCAATAAAGAGAAATCTAAGTTGGCCATTAGTTAGGCACAAATTCATTTAAAGCCAAATTAATTAAAAAAAATAGATTATATCATGTTCTACAATACAGATTTTATTTATTTCTACAGTACTTAACTTACTTGTTCATATAATATTGCCTAGCGTCCATTTCAGCTTCATTTCTTACTGAAGTTGATATGTCTCAGTGAAGGTTTCTGACACAGATGGTACTGACAGAAGATCAGAGTCTACAAAGTTAAACATTGTACATGAAGTAGATTAAGATATAAAGACAGTCTTCACAAGTGCTTTTTTTGGTTCCTTTGTTTTCAGTCATCATAAGAGCAAAGATTCTGGATTTTCATTCCTATATAACCATGAAAGCTTCAAATTAAAAAAAAAAAAAAAAAGTAATATCTATTCTGAAAGAGGTATCTAAGCTTGGTAGTTTAACTTCATTCTTTAGAGAAGTACTTCCTTGCATTAGTGTAATGTTAAATTCCTGTAATTCTGGATTTAATATTTTTCACTTATGAAAACTCCATATTATTGAACTTCAAGGTGTCATATCTCATTTTTAAGGCATAGTTCATACCATTGCTTTTTTTTTTTCTTTCCCTCAATATTGTCTTTTAAGCCATGTAGGAAAGTGTGTTTTGAGGATCTCACATTTGGCTACAGTCTGCGAAGCTTAAAGATGTCTGTACTGGTCAGATTTTTTCAACAGAAAAAGTTTGATTTTGTACGGATAAAATGACATTAACATCTCAAATATGCTGAGATTTATAGTTATTAGAAAACACTATTATAGAGCTTGCTAAATTTCTTCATTAAAACAGAAATACTCATTATTAGAGAAAAATTGAACAGTGACTTGAAGACTCTTAAAAAGATTCTTAAATATTAAGGGAAAATACCTCTATTTGACTAGCTGTGCTGGATAATGAAGAACATTTCTTTCCTTCACCACATGGGGTTAAAACTGCAGTAGACAAAACACAACCATTTTACTCACAATGACTTATTTTATTTCATCAATGAAACAAAAATTAACCCTCCCTCTCTAGTTTGAAGAGGGAGTAAAATCTGCCTAAGATTATGTGTTAAGGCACAACTTACTGGCAACAAATTGATGCAATTAGACTATATATTTTTAAGATACTCAAGTTATAAAGTACTGGTAAAAATCCTTACAATGCAGCAAAAACTTGGAAATAGAACAGAGTGCCAGTTGAGCCAGTCCTTCAGATCCTGTCATCAGACATGAGACTGTAAATTCAATTCTTAGTTTCTCTCACCAATTTTGTATGAACAGATATCACACACAAAATTGTATGATTTATGTGGTAAAAGGAAATAATCTTTCATCTTTGAAGCAACCCATCAGATAATGCTGGAAAATTCTGTCACCAAATATAAATTTTTAGTTCTGAAATCTAACTTTAATTCTCCAAACTCCACAAGGTTGAACAAGGGAAAACATTTTTCAAACAATACCTGCAACAAGTATAATATTACCAACTCTTAAGTATGAACAGAAATTTTTGTACACATAACAAAGCAGCTAATTTTCCTTCCAATAAATTCCTATCACAGAAATTCTGTAATACAATTCTAGAACAGGCAATGAAAAATTTAATTACTTTAAAAGAGAAATGAAGAGAACGAGAATTGTTGATTTTTAACCTCCATAGTACATTTCTGGCATGTTGACATTGTTATCCTTAGCTAGATGAGGGCAGTGCTTATAGAGCTATTGAGAACTAAGATGTACTAAATACCACTTTGTATTACTGCTGTTTTTAAAAGGATTGCTCTAGACATAGTTCTGCCAGTTTCTAATGATAACTTCTTTGTATTTTAAGTAACTAGCAGGATTTTTATATTTATTTTAAAGCAGCTGTCACAACTGTAATGAAGGTCAGATAGATTTCTGCTTGTATGCCATCGAGCTGAAAATAATATAACCAAAGCAAGCTTTCTACAGATTAGTAATTCCAATCATAAGACTTCTATGGTTAAATTGCTTACAATACACAACTTTAAATTATCTTGGTATTCTACTGCCATAACTTTCTTCCTGTTTGAGCACAGAAATAGCACCATGATTCCAGCCCTGGTCTGGCCTAATTCTGTGACTAATGGGGTGAAGCTTCCCAATGTGACGCTGCCTGAAACCCATGGACCAAGCCCTGGAAAAAAGGGAAAAAGTATGGAGATGGGCCTAGTTGGGGAAAAAAACTCCAAAACAATAACAGTGGTAACAATCTAAGGGAGAAAACTAATTTACTAAATATGATAATGGAATGCAAGACAGTACAATATAATTGGAATCAAAGCTAATAGAATAAATGAGGGAGTATCTAAAAACTGAAAGCCTTACTCTGATCCTGTAGATGAGACAGCCAGTAAACACACGGAGCCAAGGCAGGCAAAAAGAAAGACATTCTCATGACTTACAGTAAGTTTCAGCTTTCCCTCTTAGTGGAAAACAGAAATGAAAAATGTGAAGTCTTCTGCAAATTGTGGTCCATTCTTCTTTTCTGAGACCAGATCTGCAGCAATTACTCTTTAATTCCCAGTGCACTGCATGATCTTATGATGCAGACTACCAATAACAAATCACAAAACCATGACAATCAGTAAATAAAAATCTATGCGAAGTGTTTGTTTCTGGTCCATCACACTACACTTATAACTAATATAAAATGTAAAAAGAAAGCATTTTAATGTACATAAAGAACTTTAATAACGTCACTACATTTTCTGTTCCTTACAAAGGCTTTGTTAAATAAAGGTTTTATAAATACATCTTAGCTTTCACTGAGAGTATACAGGGGGACAAAGTGCCAAAGATGAACTTCTTAGAAAATATACTATTATAATCTAGACATTCAAACCTATCTTAACAAAACATTAATAAACATCTTTGTACTACTATTAATGATGCATGTAACTAATGAATGCAAAAGTCACCTGTGCACTTTTGAAATTTTACTTTTGCTCTAGAATCCTGTGTAAAAACTAATTAAAATTAAAAAAATAGTCACTGTGTTATTACAGTCATTCTAAAACAAGTTGCAGTGGCTATTCATGAGGTCATTAATCCTTTGAAAGAGTATTTGGGTTTCACAGTTTATCTGTATTTTGATGATGTGTAGGGTTGCCTCTGTGCTTTAAAGGGATTTGTTTAGTCAATTTCAGCTGAAATATGTCTGTGCTGTCTAACAATTTGTATTAAAAAAGACATGGCTGTCAATTAAGTTAGGATTTTTTTCTTTGGATTCTCAATAACTACTTCTTTGGATAATCAACAAACATTTCTATAGAAATCTTTTCTCGTTGTTCTCATTTTACAATTTTAAAAGTCCAAATATTTGTCTCCCAAGAGAGCTTGACTAGCATCTTTCTGTCCTTTCACAATCAGTGTTACGTTAAGAGGAAAATACTGCATCAAAATGGGTTAAGCCGTATTCCAGTTCCTAGCGGTGAAAATGGATTCACTTTGGCCCACATCAAAGCATCATTCAGTGAAATTGCAGATTTTCCATCTTCAAGGAAGAATGCTGGACCCTGGAAGAGCAGAAATATTTGGAGAGAAAGAAAAAGACAGTCCATGTGTATTGTGTAAAGACTACCACATTTTTATCTGAGAAGAACGTGAAGAACAAGTTTTAGTCTATCACCTAAATTCATATGAAAATACTACCTGGTCAGCTCAAAGCTTTAGTAATATGCAACTGTTAAGTGAATAGGCTCTAAAATCTAGAAACTGAAAATTTCGTATTCATCACATTTTTTTTTTTAATCTTAACAATTGCTGTATTCTGCACATTTGTCAGTTAAATTCTGCCTGATGTCATATCTTTTGGATTTCTCCATCTTAAAAACAAAATGAAACCAAGAAGGCTCCATGAATAGTTTTAAAACATGGAGTCTACTAAGCAACATCCAGCACTCACTATGAGAAACATGAAGGACAAAGCATTGATTTATATGATGAGAGAGAAGGTATCTGCCAGTTTTTTAATTTGATGAAACATGGTCTCAAAACTGTAACTCAATTTTAAGTGCATTTTTACAGTGGTGTGCTCTCTGAACTTGCCACTTAAACTGTAAAACCAAATAATTAGGTTACTGTACCTTAGTACTTACTCAATGATTTCTGAGCCAATCTGCATGCCCAGAGCAAAGACTCCTAATATTTACTAATCAGGGAATTAGGACATTATTCACTAATCCAGAGATTAAAATACTGTAGATGTCAAATTGGTGACACCACATTTGCCATTCTTGTCAAATGGAGTATAATAGCAGCAGCTTTCTGTGGCTATTAGCAACCACTAAAACATGTGCATGCATTTTTCGCTGAGCCACAGCAGAGATCACTGGTCTCAAGCAGAAGTACTGGCAGCAAGTCCTTTAGACTTGAGGTTGTTGTTAATTCTGTTTACCTTAAAGATCTTACTAGTGTTTGGTGACCTCCCATTGCCAATGCAAAACCATCCCTCTCAATCCCTGAACAACCCCATTACTCTTTGGCCTGGCATCTGGCACTGCACAGAGAAAACAGATAGCCTCATATAAAAGAATAATTTCACACTGAGGCAGCACTTGGAGAAAGTAGCCATACAGAGTAGTGTTTTCAGGACCCATCTAGTTTTCCCAGAAATACCAAAAAAGGCATTATAAGGGCAAGCATGTTTTGATCTTTAAATCCTACGGAAGTGAAGCAAAAATATTTAAATATTCAATTTTTACTATCTGACTTTAATTAATGAATTTTAACTATTCTGTTGTTATTATTAATCACAATGGAAACACAATGTCAGTATGTGGTTGAACATGACATTTTTTAATCAAGCCGCAGTGAGACAATGATATATATGAGATAATTTACAATAAACGTGTATGTAAAAAGACAAAATTTGGCAAAATGAATGCAGCTTTTTTTTTTCCCCATGAAAACTAAGAAGTTTCAGATTGGTAAACTGAGTAATCATTTGGCTGGACAACTCTTTACATAACCTTATTTATATAGCAGATCTCAGCACTTGTCCTTATCTTTAACTTCTGCTACTGTAACAATATGGAAAATATTAGTCTTCGCACATGATGGTATGTACCTTAGATTTATGGTAATCTCATCAATACTCACTGCTAACACCATGATGAGTTTACCTGGGCTCTCTGAAACTGACCTGTATCCTTAGCCCTGTCAAACAAGAGATGTGAACATCTGAATGGCTGGGAAGATTTGATCCAGTGACATAGTCAGGCCCAATCATTCCTTTCAGAGGCTCCTCTTGTATACGTGATACCAGTATTGAATAGACCTTTTTCTGTGACTCAGATGGTGGGGTGCATGGCAATTCATTGGTAGGTCTGTGAAAAAAGAAGTTTTTTTTCCAACTACACATCATAATTTGTTTTGGAAACTAACATCCATAAAATATTTTTTTTAAACATTAATATAAAGATTTTTACAAAGGAGATAATATTGTATTCATAACAAAACATTTAAATGCTAGTAGAATCATCATACTAATTTTTTATTTTCCACATACTTGGTTGATTGAATGAAGGCTCTCCACGCATCTAATTCCTCAGAGAGCTGCTCAATTTTCAACGGTACAGATACTTTCCGTCTTTTTAAAAGCTGACTGAAAAGGAATGAGAATAAAGCCCAAATTAACAATGCATATTTTCTTGAAAGAAATAATATTCAACTATTTTTGATACAACTTCATCATTTCATCCTTCATGATGGTCACCAGCATGAAGCCACAGAAATATTAAATTACTAGATATAAGATAGACCTTTTCTTTTAAACTTGTCTTTAGGTATCTCAATTTATATATTTATATATTTATTTAAGCTTATCTTTAATTATCTTAATTTCCTCCTCCCCTCCCCCCCTTTTTAAGAGGCCCTTCAATACTTTAAGACTTTTATTTCCTAATAATGACAAGCTGACTGCAACTAAGTATATATAACTGATGTGAAGCAATATCCTATCTAGCAAAGGCAAAACAAGCTGCATTGTGAAATCAGTGACATCTTGGACACGGCTTTGTTACCCAACAGGAATAAAATCAAAAAGATTTGAGTGCACCAAACTGTGAGGGAGATGTTATTGCTAGAAATGGCAATTAGTCAGATGGACAGCACAGAGGAAGACTAAATAACAGTGGTTACATTTTTGAAGGAGTACTGAAGTACTGCATATAAACATTTTATTTAGCAGCAGATTAACAGAGATTATTGATCTGAATTCAAGTCAAGTGGATTGATTTAATTCAGTCAAGTCCAAGAGAGTCAAGTGAAGACAACTTAGGCTAGGTTAAGTGGTTCAGGCCAAGTGGGATCTCACCAGGTAAGCAAGCCAAGTGGTGTCAAGTGGGTGAAGTCAAATGGGCCATGTCAGGTAGGGTCAGGTAGGTGGGGCCACGTCAGTGAGGTTAAGCCAAGTCGCATCAGATCAAATGCACCAAGTTAAGTCAACCCAGGTCAATTTGATGAGGACAAGACAAGCAGGCAAGGCTAAAGTCAGGTCAAGTCGTGACTGGGTTGGGCAGGACCAAGTGGAGGCAAGCGTGCTAGACCAAGCAAAAAGCTTGCAGATAGGGAATATTAGCTCACTGAGTACCAGAAGGTTTCATGATGGGAAAGGAAGCAAGTGCACAGATACAAGCTCTGAAGTCACAGCTTGCCCTTGATGCTACTGAGCAAGTCTTCACAAGAGGTCTACACAGCATACAATCATGCACGGAAGTAATGCTGAATGCTCATCTAAAAAACCAGTTTTTCCTTACACAACAAAGTGTTTTACTGAAATCATTAATTCAGAAGTTGATCTACCCAGAAACATGATCTGCCTACAGCATATACCATAAAAGGAACTGAGATTTTGAAGTGTTACTAAAAGCATAATATTACCTTGTATATTCATAAAGTGCAGGTACAATGCTATTGTACTGTCTTCTGATAGCAAGTAAAGCACCGATATAACCGCACAAAATTAGCAACTCATTCCGAAATCTATAAATGAACAAGTATTAATTATGAACAATAATGATTTCAAGCATTTTAAAAAAACACATTCAAATATATAAAATTTTAAAGCCTATCTCATCAGTCCATGCTTTATGAGGAATACGTCTGCTAATTATGTTTAGTTTCTGTGTGATGTAACTTATTACATTTCACCTGCTTTATACTGATATAAAAATTACAGAATTGTGGAATCACCAAGGTTGGAAAACACATCTAAGATCACCCAGTCCAACCATCCACCTATTACCAGTATTTCTCACTAAACCAAACCATTACATTTTAGCACATAACAGTCACATAACATTACAAAACAGTGGTGCTCAGACCTTTCAATACAACAAAACTTTAAATAAAATTGCACCATATTTGTATGATCTTGAGTACTATCAATTTTCCCCACAGACACGAGTTAAGCTTTCTGCTCATTTTAGTTCTTCATATACATCTTTGCAACCATCCAGGCCTAATTTAAACGATCTTTTAATGAATGGTGAAACACAGCAATCTAACTATTTTAGAGTTAATTTTAAGATTAACTTAAATTGCTTGATTGCTTGAATTTCCTTAACACTTTGACATAAAAACACATTGTGTGTGATATCACTGCTCTTCTTCAAAAAACTGAAACAGAAAACTAATCAAAGTGAGCTTCTCCAAATAAGACCAATATTGACACACCCACTGTAAATGCCTGCAAAAGTAGCAGGCAAATCTCTTATTCTTTTTGCTAAACCTTGAAAATTTAGGAGAATTCCACATTCAGTTCTCCAGGCTGAGAATTAACCTATTGACAGCAATCTGTTTGTACCACTGTTCTTGTCAAACAAAAGTGATACTTAACAGTTTGAACCAATAGATTTTTTTTAATCTATACGTTTCTTTAAGTGAAACTTCCACTTTCATAAATATGGAAAACATACTCACTCTGTACAGTTAGTCAGCATTAATTGTTCAGTGCGAATGTAACTTAGAAGGTCAAGGTATGGACATACTGAATCTAAAGTCCAATGTGAGTCACGGAGTTGTTCTGTTCAAAAATAGAGAAAATAATTGAAGAGACAAGCTATACAAATTAATTATGCTTTAAAAAGTTTCTTTATTCAAGTACCTTTCACATACTGAATGCCAATAGGGAGAGCTTTTTCTGGTTCACTGCTTAGCAGATAGTACTTTATAGTTTCAAATATA